GTGGCCAGTCACAATTCTTTTAGCTAGAAGCATCTGCCGGGAAGAGCGTGCCACTGGCGAAAAAAAGCTTCGGGTGGAACAGTGCAAAAAACGCATCCTCATGCCGGCAGCCCGTACGCTTTCGGCTAAGTCTCGGCTACTTAGCACATCACAAAAATACAACGCCTGCAGTTAAAATGATGAAATTTATAATAAAATTAACAGAGAAACTTGCTTTTGCTGTACGATCAATGACGGTAAATTGTTGGTAAGGTTAGATAAGTTTGATGAATGCTCCTGCAATAGTTCACGCTTCGTCATTATCAAGAATACACCTGGGCTACCGTTATCAGTGTATCGCAGCAGTCTGTCCGGAAAGCGCAAGGCATATCTGTACATAACTCTGCGGACAATCCTTATTGTTCGATTGACAAGTGGGATTACTACTGCAGAATGTAGGATCAGCTGTGTGGGAAGTGCAAAAGTACGGATTTTATATGGAATGGCAACAGGAAAACCACCGTCTATGCCGTTGCCAATGAAATGTGGTGAGCTACGCGTAGCTTAATTAAAGGAAAGACAAGCCCCTCTTTTTGTGAAATGTATGGCAAATGTTGTCGATAAAAAATACCTCAATGCAAAACTGTTAAAGATTGACCTGAATGAAAGCAGATGCTGCACTGTAATCGGAAATAGTGTACGGTGTTTGCAGCCGCTGGGGTTGGGTGCTGAAAACGCTTGTCACATGAAATGCGGTTATAACTTTTGAAAGGTTTAATTCTCATTAAAATTGACTTACAAGTAGTATGGAGACAGTGTGGAAGTTGTTGGTTCGTAGTTAACATAGCCAGTTTGCGCAGCTAGCTGATGAATGAAATCAGGAGGGATGTGAAAGAGCCGCGTAAAGTTCTGGTCGACAATGTCAGTTCCAGGCACATCATATGGAGCGGCTACCTGAGACAGACCTCCGTGACCGTTAGCTGCTAACTTTGAAGAAGGCATCGCAGCCATAACATCCAGTGCTCCCTAAAATGCAAAATTTTTATTACATTTTAGTAATTTAGCTTGACAAAAGGAAATGCCATGAAACAGTAAGCTGGCAACGAACGAAAGAGATTTATAAGAACTTTTGTAAAGATTTATTCCTTTCCGTTGCTACGGACTGTAGTTCTCATTTTATCTCGAACCATCTAAACTAGTAGTAGCTTCCAGTGCAGTAAAAGTACAGTATGTCTAATGGTTTCAGAGAAAGCAACATGAATGGATAAAACTTGGGCAGAAGAAATATAACTGAGAGATGAGCGCTCAGGATCCAATTTGCCCGGTGTCCTGGCTAAAAAAACCCAGGCTGGAACGCACCGGGCGGGCCCGTGCGATCATGTGTTTTTGCACAGGACTTGAAGTA